GCCCAGCTCCTGTTACAGAGAAAATCATCTCTGCGGGGTCAGCATCCTGAAGTTTTTTTTCAGCCGGATTACGAGCCAAAAGAGCGAATGAAAATGAGAGAGCTGATGACGGAGCTGGAAAAGCGGAGAAGCAGCGGCGAAATACACCTACAAATCAAGAACGGACAAATAATTCAGGTCAAAAGGACATTTCTCTGGCCGAAGGCCGTCATTCTGACAGCCTCATCGATGCAAAGGTGCCAACTCCTGAGGCTGCTCGCACCAGTGGCCGTTGTCTAGAAATCTATTACACCAACTGTCAGAGTCTTCTCAACAAGCTAGATGAACTCAGATTACTAGTCTCTGAACAGAAGCCACACATAATTGTCCTAACAGAGACATGGTTGACTGAGGAAATAAGTAGTAGCGAAGTCAGTACTGAAGGCTACCAACTGTTCCCTTGTGACAGATTTCAGCGTAGAGGAGGAGGCACAGCGATTTATGTGTCAAATGAAATTCCGTACTGTCAACGAGAAATATCCGATGGTGCACCCCGAAATTTTGAAATAATTTCATGCAAGATATGTATCAAACAATTACCGACACTGAACCTCTGTGTTGTCTATCGGCCTTCTAGCTCAAATGAAATCGCTGATATGGAATTACTTAGTGCACTGGAGTTGTTATGTAAGCAGGAGAACTTACTACTTCTGGGTGACTTCAACGCTCCAGGAATAGACTGGAACATCCCCCTAACAAACGCCCCGTCCGCGTCATTTGACCACAATCTACTACAACTCTCCCTGAATGAGTACCTCATTCAACACATAAAATTCGGAACAAGAATGAGAGAAGGACAACGATCTAACTGTTTAGATCTTGTTTTCAGTAAAGAAGAAAGAGTCATAAGGAAAGTGAATCCACAACCTCCACTCGGTTTAAGCGATCCTATTGCTTTTACCTGCGTGTGCTCTCTCCTATCGAACCAACAACCAAAAATCAAGAGGCGCAGAAATATTTGGAAGGGTGTCTTTAACGCAATGAGACGCACTCTTTTGGAGAAAACCTGGTTAGTCAACGCTGAAAAAAAAAGTATTTGCAACTTCGAGATCCAAGGTCATTCGCCGAATATAAGGATCAGCGCAATAAATGCCGCAAACAAATACGGGTTGCCAGAACTTTTTTCGAGCGCCGACTGATAGCAGAATCCAGTACATGTCCCAAGAAGTTTTACGGGGACATGCGCAGTAGGAGGAAACATAGGGACGAAATTGCGTGTCTAAATGATAGCTTCGGAAACTTATTAGTTGAAGGGCCACCGAACGTGCAATTACTGTCTTAGTTCTTTCAATCGGTTTTTACGGAGAAGTCCTTAGAAGACAAGGAGCAGCTTGAAATGGACCGAGACAGCCGGGAGCTTCAAATGCGCCAAGATACTGCTGTCATTGAAACTGTCGCCTT